GAAACGGAGCTGGCCTCCCTCCGCAGCTGGGCAGCTCGCGGGACGCCTGTGAGGTTGAAAGACCCGGGTTCCTTCCTTGCAAACACAGCCAGGCCTCCCGCAGACCCTAGGACCAACCCCCCCACCCCAGCCTTGCACACCCAGCTGTGTTCTGAACAAATCAACCCTCAGACTTCAGAGCAGAGGCTCTGCTGCCTGGCTCTTGGCTCTCGATGGCTTCAGGAAGGATGTGAGGGGGGAGGGGACCGCCACTATTAATTAGACCCTGTAATTAGATCCTGTTTCCAAGGGCTGAGAGGATGTGTGTGACCCCATCCTGGGCTGCTTTGCTGAGGCTGCAAATTACTCACACTGGGCTTTGTGGGTTTTTTTTTTTAAAGAAACAATTTTATTTTGCAATTTTATTTAATCAAATGATCAATCTGCTGAATTTTTTTTTCCAAATATTTATTTATTTGAGAGAGAGCGAACAACACGTTCCTTCCTATCAGCTAGCCCACTCCCCAAACAACTGCAATGGCCAGGGCTGGGCCTCCATCCAGGTCACCCACATGGGTGGCAGGGCCCCGAGTACTTGGGCCATCACAGCTGCCTCCCAGGCTGTTGTTCATCAGCAGGAAGCTGGAGTCAGGAGTGGAGCCAGAACTCAAGCCGGGCACTCACATATGGGATGTGGGCCTCCCAAGCCAATCACTAACCCTCCACCCCACCACCCACCCCTCCCCCGCCTTTTATTAACTTTATAGGACAATCACAGCATTACTTGTAACAGACAATAATAATGTTGGAAACTTCTAAATGTGCAGAAGTTGGCAAGCGTTTCAGTATTATGGCATGCCTATAAGAGAGCCCTGTGTTAATAACAGATGGCTTCGCTCTTTATATACCTACATGGAAATTCCCTGGCACAATGCTGAGGGCCAGACACTGCCCAGCACCACGATTCCATCCTGGATTTTAACTTTTCAAAAGGTTATTTTATTTGAAAGTAGAGAGCTCTTCCACCCACTGGCCCACTCCCCCAAATGCCTGCAGCAGCTAGCGCTGGCCCAGGGACCCACAACTCAACCCAGGTCTCCCATGTGGATGGCAGAAACTCCCTCCCAGGGTGTGCATTAGCAGAAAGCTAGAATCAGAAGCATGGCCAGGACTCGAACCCAGGTTCTCTGATGCGGGCTGCGGGTGTCCCACGTCTGGTTTAACGGCTGCATCCAAAGCTTGCCCCTATTTTTGCTTTAAAACAGGCACAGGGTCTTTCCTAGAAGCATATTTGGATTCTGACTTGAAGAAATCATTTGCAGAATGCCGTGTTTGTGACGGGGAAATGTGAATGCAAACTGAGTTAACAGACAAAACCAAGGACGCACAACTAGGGCAGGCGTCTGGTGCAGTAGGTTAATCCTCCGCCTGTGATGCCAGCAACCCATATGGACGCTGCTTCTAGACTCAGCTGCTCCTCTCCCGATCCAGCTCTCTGCTGTGGCCTGGGAAAGCAGTGGAGGATGGCCCAAGTGCTTGGACCCCTTCATCTGCACAAGAGACCCGGAAGAAGCTCCTGGCTCCTGGCTTCGGATTGGCTCAGCTCCGCTCTGGCTGTTGCGGCCAATTGTCTCTCTCTCTCACTGTCTATAACTCCACCTCTCAAATAAATAAATCTTTTAAAAAGATAAAAAATAAAAAGATGCACAAAGAAGAACAATAGGGGAGGCCGGCGCCTCGGTTCATTAGGCTAATCCTCCACCTAGCAGCGCCGGCACACCGGGTTCTAGTCCCGGTCAGGGCACCAGATTCTGTCCCGGTTGCCCCTCTTCCAGGCCAGCTCTCTGCTGTGGCCCGGGAGTGCAGTGGAGGATGGCTCAGGTGCTTGGGCCCTGCACCTCATGGGAGACCAGGAGAAGCACCTGGCTCCTGGCTTTGGATCAGCGCGGTGCGCCAGCTGCAGCGCGCCAGCCGTGGCGGCCATTGGAGGGTGAACCAACGACAAAAAGGAAGACCTTTCTCTCTGTCTCTCTCTCACTATCCACTCTTCCTGTCCAAAAAAAAAAAAAAAAAAAAAAAACAACAACAACAACAACAACAACAAAAAAACAATAGGGGAGAGCGGATGTGATTTGGGGATTTGTCTTAAAATAATTTAGAATAGAAGAAAAAGAGAAAAGGGTTGGACCAAAATAGTCACTGAAGATGACTACTGATTTTGAAATCAGTAGTTGGAAATTTTTCATAATAAAAATATCTCTACGGGGATGGATGGTGTGAAGGCTTCCTCCGCAGGTGGGCCCCGTAGTGGGAGGAGTCAGCACTTGGCTCCAGACCCAATCTCGCAGTAGGGCCAGAAGAGAACCTAAGCAGTAAGACAGAGTATCTGAAGTTTCCGCAGAAACAGCGAGGATGGGTGGACAACTGGCAGAGCAGTTCGACGCTGCAGCCCACATCCGAGTGCCTGGGTTCCGGGTCCTAGCTCTGCTCCTGATTCCAGCTTCCTGCTGTGTACCCTGGGAGGCAGCCAGTGACAGCTCAAGTAGTTGGGTTCCTGCCACCCATACGGAAGACCTAGACTGAGTTTTTGGGCTCCTGGCTTCAGTCTGACCAGGAGCCCAGGATGTCGTGGGCATTTGAGGGGGAGTGAACCAGTGAACAGATCTGTCTGCAAACTTTTAAAGAAATGGAAACAAAATAGTGTATATGGAGAGCCCCAGCAGGCAGAAGCCATCCAGCACTGAAGCGTGGCAGGTCTAACAAGGGCCACGAAAACCCACTGCAGCCCTGCAGCTGCGGGAAGTACCCGTTCTTTTATTTATCACACACCGTGGGTGCTGGTCACACCTGAGACTCACTCCCTGCGGCATTCCCGCCAGCTGCCACTCCTCTGCTTAAGAAAACATGAAGCTGTGTAAGCCAGGGCCCATTACGAGCCTGTGGTCATTTGTAACATTCACAACGCACTGTGAAATTTCAAAGCTTTATTAGTAAAACATTGTGACACAACTCTAACACATCGCCAGTGCCTTTTTTTTTTTCTTTTTAACATTTATCTATTATCTGAAAGGCAGCATTAGAAAAGCAGAGGCGGGGCTTGTGCCTGCAGTCCTGGCATTCCATGTGAGCACTGGTTTGAGTCCCAGCTGCTCCACTCCCAATCCAGCTCTCTGCTATGGCCTGGGAAAGCAGTAGAAGATGGCCCAAGCCCTTGGGCCCCTGCACCCGCATAAGAGGACCTGCAGGAAGCTCCTGGCTCCTGGCTTCTGATCGGTGCAGCTCTGGTCATTGTGGCCAACTGGGGAGTGAACCAGTGGATGGAAGACCTCTCTCTGCCTCTCCTCTCTGTGTAACTCTGACTTTCAAATAAATCAATAAATCTTAAAGAGAGAGAGAGAGAGAGAGAGAGAGAGAGAGAGAGGCGGAGGCAGAGAAGTCTTCCATCCGCTGGTTCACTCCCCAAATGGCTGCAATGGCCAGAGCTGGGCCAGTTTGAAGCCAGGAGCCAGGAGCTTTTTCTGGATCTCCCATGTGGGTGCAGGGGCCCAAGGACGTGGGCCATCTTCTACTGCTTTCCCAGGCCATAGCAGAGCTGGAATGGAAGTGGAGCAGCTGGGACTGGAACTGGCACCCATGTGGGATGCTGGCACCACAGGTGGTAGCCTTACCCTCTATGCCACAGCCACGTGCCAGCCCCCCCCTTGTCTTTCAAATGAGGTTAAGAGCCCCAGGCACCTACACTGCTTCCCCTACCAGTTAGCTGCCCCTCCCCTACCCCCAGCTCTTAGAGAACTGTGTCTCAGGCACACAGCTTTCATCGGAGTAAGGAAGGAGTTAGGTTCTTTCCTCTGCCTTAAACAGCTCCAACCCTACTTCTTTGTATCTTACAAGCCAAGGGACCCTGGGCAAACTATGTAATCTAAGCCTAACACTTTTTTTTTTTCTAAGATTTAGATGAAGGAGTTAGAGAGAGAGGAGGAGAGACAGCTTCCTCTGGGTCTCCCACATGGGTTCAGGGGGCCATCTTCCACTGCTTTTCCAGGCGCATAAGCAGTGAGCTGGATTGGAAGAGGAGCAGACAGGACTCAAACCGGTGCCCATATGGGATGCTGGCGTTGCAGGCAGAGTTAAACCCACTATGCCACAACGCCGGCCCCTGACACTGTTTAGAAGTGGGCTCGAGGTTAGCACTAGGGTGAACTCACAGTGCCATTCAGTGTAAGAGACGCCAAGTGCCCGGGCACAGCGCGTGTCCAGGAAGCAGCTCTACCTTGTGGCTTCCTCATGCTCAGCACAGCTCTCAGCACAGTGGACTGGGTGGACAAACACACCCATCCAGTCAGCATTTATTGAGTAACCACAGGTCTGAACCCAGGCCCCAGGGGCAGAGCAGTGGATGAGACAACGAAGCCCTGGCCTCTTGGGGCTTAGGTTCTAGTGGGGGAAACACAAGAAAACACAGAGCTGCACAGAGGGAGAAAAGGAGACAGAACTGCTATGGTCTGCTCACGGGACGTGTGACCCTATCCTGAGGTTGAACGTGGGTGGACTTACTCCAACAGTGGGAGGTCTTAGGGAGGTATTGAAGGTCAAGTGAGGCCATCGGGATGGGCCCCGAAACCACTGGGACTGTGGCTTTACAAAGCAAGGACACCTGTGTCACCTGTACTGCCTTGGGACTCCAGGTCCCCACTGGCAGGAAGGGCCTCATCAGACACAGTCACCAGCCCCTTCAGCTCTGTTAGTGGGGCGCCACCAGGGAGGGAAAGCTGGATTTTTTTACGTACTGGGGAAGCTCTGAGACTGTGTCATTTGAGTAGACTCCAAACTACACACATGTGGGTAGAAGCTGTGTTTCTGGCCAGGGGGTGGGGTTGGGGACCAGGCAGACAGGTGCAAAGGCCCTCAGGCAGGTTCATGCATGTCCCCTAAGAAGACCAGAGACTGAGGGGGCTGGGATGGTGTGAATGAGAAGGCATTTATCTTTATTCCATTTAATTCAAAATAACCACACAACACGATTCAGAAATTGGAAAAAATGTATTAAAATATTCACAAAAGTACAGCTGAAAGAGAAAAAAAAATCGAATCACAATGGGCTTGGTGGCTTTTTGCTATATTTCCATGGAAGAACCAGAGAGAGTCTGGGATGTGGATCTCACTCCCCCAGTAACAACCTGGACCCCGCAGGTCTGCATTTGGACAGGACCCGGAGCAGGGGTCAAAGACTGCAGAGGAGACGGTGTGGGGAGCTTAGGGACTCTCAGGGATGTCTGCCCAGCCTTTGGGCCAGCCCCAGGGAGGGGTACAAAAGCAGGTGCCTCCCTGGCCTCAGGGGGCGGGACGGCCAGAATACCCGAGCACAAGGTGTGCGGTTGGGCTGTGAGGTCAGCAAGTGCGCGCAGGCGGGGCCTCCTGCCCCCCAGGGAGAAGCTCTGGGCTCCTGCTCTGGGGAAGGAAGGCTCAGGAAGAAGACAAGAGAACGGCCCCTTTCTCCGTACAAGCACAGCTGTCTGCAAGTATTCCACCCGGAATTGCACCCTCAGCCTCCAGACGCCCGCGGCGCGGCATCATCAGTGTGAAGAGTGGGGACAATCCCCCCTCCCACACCCCCATCCCACCCCGCACCCCGCGCAGGCTCCAGGAGGGTTGAGAACAGACGCAGGGGAAGCTCTGGGGGCCCAGGGCTGGGCAGAACGATGACCCCTGGGCAGGAATGGCCGGCACCGCGATGGGTGGGTGAGGTCCCAGTCCCGTGACCTGCGCGCGCCAAGGTGGGCCCGGTGGTGCAGCCCCGGCGGGCGCCTCGGGGACCCGGCCCCTGCAGCCTCCTGCACAGAGCCCTCGGTGGCTCTCGCTCCCGGGTCAGTGGCAATCCAGGGGGGCTCCCTTTATGCATTCTCAGGGACTCGGCCGTCCCGCGCCCCCAGAAGGATGGCAGGGGCCTCAAACCTGGGGAAAAGTGCTCCCCGCCGCTCCCCACCGCCTGCCCACACTGTTCTGCGTGCAGACCAGGCGCTGACCAGGCGCTTCCCAGACGCATCGGACAATGTTAGAGGGAAAGGGCGATTCTTTTCAAACAAAACAGTCTAGAAGACAGGGGGACGACAATATAAATAACCGTTGTTGGATCTTCACCGTGCATTCCATTCTCAGTAAAATACAAAAACACAGATTTAAAGGGGGGGGTGGGGTGGAAAATGAGTCGGATTCCCAATTGCACCTCTCTCCATCGCCTATCAGCTGCGCCTCATGGGGGGAAGGGGGCGGGGGAGGAAAGCAACACAATACAACCGGAAGAGAGAAGAGATTCCCGAAGCAGCAGTCTCAGCCCTACTTGAACTTCCCAGGTCGCTGGGGCACCAGGGAGCTGTCACAAAGCCACCAGTGTGGCTGCCCCGTGCTGGAAGCAGAGAAGGGGACCCCGAGAGAGTGCTGGGGCACCAGAGGGGGCAGTCCAGCCCCACCGCCGCCCACCCACAAGGAGAGCAGGAAGGGCCTCGGCAGTGACCATAAATGACGCCTGTCCCCTGCAGAGCGGACAGCACGCCTCCAGCAAAGCCTGCGCTTTCTGCTGTGGCCTTGAGCCCCAGGTCCCTGGAAGGGCATTCACCCCCTGCTCCCCAGGCTAAGAAGGAATCCACTCACTGATCTGTGTGAAGGGTGTGACGTTAAAGTCAAGTCTACACAGCACGTGAGGCTGAAAAGTCGCTTCGCATTTTGAAGAGAGAAAAACATCAATAAAAACCTTTTCAAACTGTCCACAAGTGGCAATACAGAGTGGATGTTTTCTAAAAGCGACAGCCGAACACCAGGGCTGCGCAGGGTTCAGGCCACCGCGGGTCAGCTTCCAGGGTCGCACCTCCATGCTCCACCTCTGATCAACGCTAAGACTGCTGAAGCCCTTCAGAAGAAAAGGCCGTGTCTACTGGAAACACTACAACATCTGCTACTGTCTCCACTAAGGCAAATCCTAACTAAGTGACGGGGTTAGGCATGGTTCTGAGATCTCCCAATGGTAAATGACCCCGGGGGGGGGGGGGAGCACAATAGCAAGACAATTGATATGTACAGAGATTCACACCACATCGTCTTCCGCGACACCGGCGACTCGGGCTCCTCACATCGGGGAGATTAAATAGCGTATTTATACATATCCTTTATACACGTCTCGTCCTCCCTCTGTGAGCACACAGGTGCTTGTCCTTGCCTGGGTCCCCAAGGCCACACGTGATTATGGGCTGCATTCTCTGCACCAGAGTCCAGTCCAGGCTTGTTTCTTGCTCAGGATCCGTTCGGGAATTTCTCTTAGTTTTTCCGGATGTCTGCGTACACCACAGACTCTGACTTGTTGATCTTGTCACTGTGCCGTCCGCCAGAATGGTCTAGCTGCGCATAAATGACTGGGCCCTGGAAGAGAGAAGAGGAGTGAGAGGCTTGGAGAGGCCGGGGTTCCTTTAGGTGTAGGGGCAGAGGCAATGATTTCAGTGGTTGCATAGGCTTCCCTCCCCTGAATGTTCGCAAGGAGGCTTCTCAGGCGTGGTTTGTCCAGGACTGACTCTAACATGGGCCTGGGCATTTGTGGGTAGTTGTCAACACTGCTACATGGTAATCTGTTACATTTTTCTCTCTGCTTTTGTGAATATCTGCAAATTTCCTTAACAATATAATATTCCTTCTTTAGGACTATTCATTATGTATTCATTTGAGAGGTAGAGTGAGAGAGGGATAAGAGACAGACCCTCTATCCACTGGTTCACTGTCCAAACACCCACAATGGCCAGGGCTAGCTAGCCTGGAGCCAGGAGCTAGGAACTCCATCCGGGTCTCCCACATGGGTAACAGAAACTCAAGTCCTGGGCCCCTCATTCACTGCTTCCCAGGCATGTTAGCAGGGAGCTGGAGCAGAAGTGGAGTAGCTGGGACTCAAACCAGCACTCTGACATGGGATGTGGGCAAGTCAAATGGTGGCTTCACCTGCAGTGCCACATCGCCCATCCCCCTGCACCTGGGGTCAGAGGGTAACTTCTACCAAGCTGAGACATATGAACTGCAGGACAGTCATGAAAGAAATGAACAAACTTGGTGCGACCCTAAGACCTAACAAATTTGGACTGGTCACTTGATATAAATATTTCAGGGGCCTGGCACTGTGGTGCAGCACGTTAAAGCCACTACTTGCAATGCTAGCATCCCACGTGGGTGACAATTTGTATCCCAGCTGCTCCACTTCCGATCCAGCTTCCTGCTAATACACCTGGGAAAAGCAGAGGAGGATGACCCAACTGTCTGGGCCCCTGTAACTCACATGGGAGACCCTGATGAAACTCCTGGGCTTCTGGCTTCTGCCTGGCCCAGCGCTGGCTGTTGTGGCCATCTGGGGAGTGAACCAGTGAATGGAGGATCTCTCTCTCTCTAGCTCTGAATTTCGAATAAATAATTATTTATTTATTTATTTATTTTTGACAGGCAGAGTGGACAGTGAGAGAGAGAGACAGAGAGAAAGGTCTTTCTTCCTTTTGCTGTTGGTTCACCCTCCAATGGCCGTTGCGGCCGGTGCACCGCACTGATCCGATGGCAGGAGCCAGGTACTTATCCTGGTCTCTCCCATGGGGTGCAGGGCCCAAGCACTTGGGCCATCCTCCACTGCACTCCCTGGCCACAGCAGAGAGATGGTCTGGAAGAGGGGCAACTGGGACAGAATCCGGCACCCCGACCGGGACTAGAACCCGGTGTGCCGGTGCCGCAAGGTGGAGGATTAGCCTAGTGAGCCGCGGCACCAGTCTCAAATAAATAAATCTTTAAAAATTTTTTTTAACTTTTATTTAATGAATATAAATTTCCAAAGTACAGCTTATGGGTTACAATGGCTTCCCTCCCATAACGTCCCTCCCACCCGCAACCCTCCCCTTTCCCACTCCCTCTCCCCTTCCATTCACATCATGATTCATTTTCGATTCTCTTTATATACAGAAGATCAGTTTAGCATACATTAAGTAAAGATTTCAACAGTTTGCTCCTCAAACGGTAGAGTTAGAAACATACCAGGGGATTCCAATTCAATCCCATCAAGGTGGCATGTACCAATGCCATCTCACTAGTCCAAGTGATCAATTTCTGTTCACAATTGATCATAATAATAGGACTAAGAACCAAAGGGATCACATAAACAAGAATAGTGTCTGCAAATACTAGCTGATAGAATAAAAAAGGGAGAGAACAATCCAACATGGGAAGCGAGATACATAGCAGACCCATAGAATGGCAGATGTCCTAAACAGCACTCTGGCCTCAGAATCAGCCCTTAAGGCATGCGGATCTGGCTGAAATGCCCATGAGAGTATTTCAGGCATGGAAAGCCAAGACATTCTTGGGGGGAAAAAAAAAACCTAAATGAAAGATCTCCGCAAGTGAGATCCCAGTGGAAAGAACAGGTCATCAAAGAAGGAGGTACCTTTCTCTGAAGGGAGGAGAGAACTTTCACTTTGACTATGGCCTTGTCTAAATATGATCAGAGTCGGTGAACTCAGGGGGCTTCCATAGCCTTGGCAGCTCATGACAAGAGCCTAGGGTGATTACTGATGCCATAAACAAGAGTGTCAATTTGTTAAGTCAACAACAGGAGTCACTGTGCACTTACTCCTCATGTAGGATCTTTGTCCTTAGTGTGCTGTACATTGAGACTTAATGCTATAACTAGTACTCAAACAGTATTTTTCACTTTATGTTTCTGTGTGGGAGCAAACTGTTAAAAAATTTTTTTTCTAATGCTCTTCAATACTAGCACTGATGGCGCTAGCTCTTCTTCGTTTTAAAATAAAACTAAAAAGACAACATTCTCAAAGTCACGCTCTCTAAAGCTATAAAGAAAGGCCCTAGTTGGAATAAAGTAAGAAAGACCCCTTTACCAGAGCAGGAAGGAAGGGGTAAAAGTCCCAGGGAGCTGTTGGGGTCCAATACAGAAGGAGGGAAGGGGGCGTTACATTATTCTCTCTGCTTTTGCAAATATCTGGGACAGGGCACATTGCCCTCTTTGAGGGGCAGAGGTCTAAGCAGAGGCTAGGGGTGCAAACCGACAGTGGGTGCCCAGCATGGCCCTTCAGTCCCTTCTAACCTGGACACCCCAAAACTGTACGATAGCTCTCATCTTAGAAGAGGAGGCAATATAACCCCAAATCAGCTTTCTCCTAATCCACGGGAATTCTTGAGAAGTCCAACAACAGTGGCTTAAGCTTTCAACTCTGAAATGGAAAGTTCAGTAGGCAAAAGCAGGTGTCAAACACACCCCCACCACCACCCAGGAGCCCTCCAAACTGCACTCTTTGGCTCAGGTGCTCCACCCTCCACAAAAGGAGGGGCAGACCGAGCGGAGAGAGCTATGCCACGGTGCACGTCAAAATCAAGTGACAAAACACCACTCAAGGCCCAGACCCACGTGAACTTGGGCCGAGCTGGGGTCTGAATGTAGGTCTCCTGTGACCATGGCGGAGAAGACCATGTGGCCTTCAGCACATCTGTAAATCTGCAAGCATCAGTGTGTCTCTAAAACGCACTGACAATAGAATCTATGTCTTTTAGCACTGTGACAATCTGACACGGACAACGTGGGCGGTACCCGACAGTCCCTGACTCGTCTGTTATGAGCATTGTGTTACCCAGACACACTGTAAAGCGGATCAAGTAAATAAAATAGGCGAACCAGGTTAGTTCTTTTTTTAAAAAGATTTATTTATTTATTTGAAAGTCAAAGTTACAGAGAGAGAGAGAGAGAGAGAGAGAGAGGTCTTCCATCTGCTGGTTTTCTCCCAAATGGCTCCAACGTCCAGCGCTGGGCCAAGCCGAAGCCAGGAGCTAGGAGCTTCTTCCAGGTCTCCCACGTAGGTAGCTGGGGCCCAAGGACTTGAGCCATCTTCTGCTGCCTTTCCCAGGCCACTAGCGGTGAGCTGGATCAGAAGCGGCGCAGCCGGGACACAAGCTGGTGCCCATATGGGATGCCGGCGTCGAAGGCAGTGGCCTTACCCGCTACGTCACAACGCTGGCCCCGGTATGTCTGTCTTTATTCCACAGATGACATTCTACATGTCCTGGGCGGTATGAACAGGTCACATAGTCAATACTAAATCACAGAGCCTTTTCTGTGTTCATCCCAGAAAGCTACAAGTTAAATGCTAATCCAAAAGGAAACAAAAATAAGTTAATAGGATAGTACCTTCCCGCCAATTAAATTAAATTATGCAATTGCCTAGGTAATAAAACCCTACACTGTAATTCCTGGAGACTTGTTAGGAACTTTAAGGTGCGTTCCCGGAAGGAGTGTGACGGGCGGTGAAAATGGTCATAAACTTTGTCCTCTAGCGCATCTCGCACCCTTTGCAATGCAATGCTGCAGAGTGCAACTCAGTCTTGTGACTTGCTGTGACCAATGGAACGAGGCAGATGCTGTCATGCAGTTTCCACACCTAGACTTTTCACTTGTTTTCTGATCTCGGGACCCATAGAGGCACCCAACTACGCAAAGCTCAAGTGAGCCTCCTGGCTCTTGAGACACACGTGGCCCAGCTGTCCTCTGGACAGTGGCCTGCCAACTGTCAGGCTGCAAATGAGACCACTGTAGATGGTCCAGCTTCCCGCCAACTCTCTAGCCAACTGCAGGTGCATCAGTGAGCCAGCAGAAATCAGCTGAACCGACGCAGACCAGATCTGCCCAGCTGATCCACAGAACGGGAGCCAAGTAAATGGTGGCATTTTAGGCCACTACATTTCAGGGTGGTTTGTCACACAGCAGTGGATAACTGACGCACTGCAGGGGAGAAAAGGAAAGAGCACGGCAGCTGGAGAAGAGAAAGGACACTGAACTGTCCCTGAATCAGTCAGCGGCTGTTAGATACCAGGAGGTCTCTGAATGGGAGGCAGCCCTGTGCACAGCAGAGTACAACAGCCTGCTGACCGTGACCCCCGCTATCGATGCGCTGGGTTTTCTTCAAGTGCTACACTGTCTGATGTTTCCCTTCCTGCCTTTCCTCTTTAGAATGGAATAAGGACTTAACTCTCTGGTTCTCAGTGCTCCTTGAGGGCCAATGAGACTGCTCAGGACTTCACTTGGAACTAAACGCACCACTGCTAAGACGCTCACTTTTAAGTACGGAAGACTAAAGGGAAACCAACACCCACCACCATCGTCACCACCTGCATTCACCTCACTGTTTTCAATGTCCATCTTGGCACTCACCCTCCCCTCATCCCTTTTTTTAGGGGGGGGCAGGGAGGTTGGGAGGGAGACCTTTTCCATAAAGAATTACAATAATCCAGTGAAAAAGTTGGATACTTTTTCCCCAACTACTTACTACATAGAAAGATCTTAATTACTGAAAATGTTTCAAGGAACAATCTGCTTGATATAGGTCTATTTT